TCACAGGAATTATCATCCATGTTAGCCTGGAAGTTGAAGTTCTTGGAGTTGACATCAACACATCCGGGGCGAGTATTGATCTTGTAGTAGCGCTCTACAGCCTGACTGACTTTAAGAGCAACTTTTCTAATCGTAGGGTGTGGCAGATCAGTGAGAGTGTTGGTGTTTATGAAATAGTGCAGAGGAAATCCTGAGCGATCGATGGCAACGAGGTTGTTTCTGGTACTTTCCTGCCATTTCTGTAGAGTTATGCCAGGATAGAAAGTTGTGCCTCCGTGGCTTTGAATAAGGGAGTACTGAATATTGGATTGATATGTTTGAAGTGATGAGCTCTGTTGGGCACTTTGACTGCTAATGTCAAACTTTAGTTTATCAAAGAAGTTTAATCCAGCCTGTGCTTTAACAGAGGAGCTTTGTGACTCACTGTCTGACACATATGAGGAACGGAGATAGTCCTCCTGCACCAAAGCCGCCCCAGCATCCACAGTAGTGATGACATGAGTCCCATAGTCCAGCACCATCATCTCTGAGAGATAGTCTGCATTTTTCGTCTGGTTGTTCTCAATCGCTTCAGCGATGTCTCTGACTTGCTGAACGAATCGTGTGTCCAGAGTGAAGCCTGGATAAGCCTTAACTGTGTAGAGGAAGTTACGAACCTTTGAAAGAAAGGAATATATTATCATTAACTGTTAACAATGCTGTTTTCCTAATATTTATATATGCTTCCTTTTCTTTCTTTGCTCTAGTTAAAAATCATTTTATAACATTTGCCTTTCGACTGTGGTTAAAATAATTTCTTTCAATTATCGTTTTTAAGCTATTCTCTTATTTGAGAGGGATCTTCACGCTAGCTTAAGTAGTTTTGTAGTGTCTATAATATATACTGCATTAGATAGACGTGTAAAGTAACTTGTTGCATTAACTGAATTTAAGAAATTTATTAGAGAGTAGTATTTATTTTTATAAATGAAACAATATTTTCATGTGGAAAGATTACAATCTCAGCTGTGTCTGTTTTTTCTTTCATTTTATACACTTAAAACACAAATCAGCAGTGTTGGGACTAACGCGTTATTAAGTAACGCGTTACAGTAACTACGTTATTATTGTGGTAACGAGCACGGTAACTAGTTATTATGCCAAAATCAGGAACGCGTTACTCGTTACTGGGATTTAGATAG